GTATCGGCCAATATGAGTACTGATCCAATACCAGAGCTCTTTTTTTAAATTAGTAAATACTAATGAAAAAAATGTATGCCAAAAAGCTTTGTTAATTAGGTTGCTAGAAAAATACATAACATACTGTTCCACCTCATTTCTACATCTTGTTTGAAGCGTTTTTGAGGTATTTGCAGTTCAATTTGACTATTTTCCATTAGATTATATGCAAATGGAAAATGTTTAAATTGCCCCACAATGTTTCTCACATTGGCAACAGCATCACTTACATTTTGTTGCGATAACAGCCCCTCATGTATCACAAGATGTAGCGAGTGAGCAAAACAGCCCAAGTTCGCGACTCCCATATCATCCATTGCTTTTTTCATATTACTCATATTGTCTCACACAATTGTGAGCACTTTCTTCAGTGAGATTTTCCACTAAACGCTACTTCCACCTCTCAAAACTTTCTTTTTACAAAGACTGTAAATCACTGTGCTACTAGTTTTTGTTTCAAGCATAAAATACTTCCAGATCGTCACCCTCTTATCTGACGTTCTTAGTCTCCTCCTACTGCAAAGGGTATGCACACGACATCACAGCAGGAGGAAGTCACAGTGCTCACACCAAGTGAGTGGCAAAAAAATCAGAGTGGCAGCATCAGCGTTCCACCTGAATGGTGCAAAAGCACATCTAAAATGGGAAAGAGCTGTTGTGCAATTAATTGTACAAATCGGTTTAGTAAGAAATAGGAGCTAATCTTTTTACCGACTACTGGAAACTAAATAAGTAAGTATTGGACATAAATCGGTCATGTAAGGCCAATCCCGAATATCAGATCTGTGCACCATTACTACCAACATTTTCACAAAACATTCAATTTGCCTTTATCTAAGAAGAGCCTATTCCTCCCAAAAGATGTCCACGTGAAATGGTACATTCTCCAATGTATCATCAATAAAAATCATGCCACTGTCTGAGTACTACAGTTAACATGCAAACGCTTTGCTTAAAGTGGTAGCAGGTCATGTTTCACATTCAGTTTAGAGAGACCTACTCAGGAAAATTACAGGTATTTACATGGATATGTTACACTGTGAAGCCTTTCTAGAAGTGGATCCTCTCAGTATATCAGCACCTGTTTGTTTGTGCTTGGTTACCTAAGCACAAATTATAAAACAGTGGTTTCTGTGTTGGAATGGGCAAGTTTTACTGCACTATAGCTGATAGGCCTACTGATCCCAGTTTCGTTTACAAACAAAAAGTTCCATGAAAAAAATGAGAGAAACACACTGCTGGCTTGACAAGGCAAGCCACCGGGTGAGGACCCCAGTAGAGCCCTTGTGAGGCAAAGGCTGCCTAGGTACTGACCCATGGACATTGTTCCACGAGGAGGTAAAGTGGGAGGAAGTGGTACAGAATGACGATTTCATTCATGGTTCCTGATTTAAATAGTATCACATTTATAAGTTTGAAAGACTGTGTGTTACCTATATCACTTTCACAAAGGCCAGTGTCAGGAAAACACTCTGCTATGAGTTCACTACCTCTTCACTGGTATGAATTCAAATGAAATTGCAACAATCTTCATTACGAATCTCTTACCTCTGGAAATGACTATAATCAGGCTGATTAGCTCAATTATCAAAACAGGATTAATTGTGAGATCTGGTAATATAGGTACTATTCTCACTATGTGTAACACTGACTTTTTCAAGCTTAATTGATTTTGTCAGATAAAACAGTACAACATAACGTTCAATGTGTTTATTTGATATCTTTTTAAGTGTTTTTTGGGGCTCTAGAATCATGGTATGATCACAAACTGTATCCCAGAGACTGAAACCAGGTCAGCAAGGGACAGCACACATATCAGAGAAAGGTACATTAATCGGCGTGGCTGCCATGTGGTGAGGGGGCTCGTGATGGAATTAACTGGCCATTCCAATAAACAGGGATAAATAAAAGGAGAAAAATAATAGAACATGCATTTTTGGGTTTTACTTCAGGGCATGTGGCCAAGACTGAAATAAATACTGCCAACACCAACAACTTACATCACCATAAGAGTAATAAGTTAAAAATAAAACAAGCTAAAATTAGCAATTTCTTTTCCACAATGAAAACTGTGGTGATGCCACTTCTAACGAGATCTGCTGTTTCATACCACTGACAATTTCCCTCTCACCCTTGAGTGCTTAACACACGTGAATATTCACAAGAAAATGATGGATGTTGATAGTAAGAGCTGCTTTTTGGCAGAATCCCTCATTGCTATACCAGTTTTTAATGGCAGTAACGGACTGCTCTTGCTTGCATAATTTCAGCGACCTGCTTGTGTCTCCTGGCTGTGTTCACTATCGAGTTGTTTTTCCACTGGAGAACAGAAGTAGGTCTGCCAGGCATATTATCGCATGGCTACTGGTACCGAACGGCTGCATCGCTAATCAATTTTCTGTCACTAAAGGACCCCATTGTTCATTCTTGCTTATCGATACTTTTGTACAGTACCCATTTAACAGTGTCTATTATAATTTTTTCATTACAGTGCCCCTATCAACCCTGTGCCACATCTCTCAGTCATCTTTACTCTGACTACCATGGATATGATTGGCTGCATGAATAAAACAATGAACAATTTACTGGTTAAGCAATCTGGCAAACATAAACAACACCCTGAAGAGTCCATGTTAATTACCAGAACACTTAGATTTGCAAAACACACATCATACATCGCAACTGGCGGGCCTCACACTGCAGCAATGTTAACACAACTGTTCTTTCATTATGCACCTTATGTAATTAGTAGTGTTGCACAATGGCTTTCATGGATGCACCAAAAGTGTGCCATCTGCCTGGGTCCTTTGTGAACCATCATTCTGCAGGGCAAGGACTGGGTGAGGTTGGGGGGAATGTGGTGGGGGGACAGGAAGGAGAGCGTGACGCATTGCCTCACTCTTTCTCGCTTGTTCTGTGACTGCCGGTCTCCATCCAGCTGCAAATGCTGTTGTAGGGGACACAATGAGACCTATTTATAATACCATCGCACATTGCACATTAACACTATGGTGCATCATGCAGGAGGAAGTGTGGCACAATGGCAGGCATGGCATAGAAAGGTCAACTGACCCAACATTGTGAGCAGCAAGCCCAGATTCCAAGCCTGCTTGGGGTTGGTGAAGTCAAAAGACAAAGGCTCCTAGCAGACCTTGCACATCCTGTGCTTATGTGCACAGAATAAAATTATTTTATGGAGAAACAAACACAGAAAGAGCAACTTCAGGATGGTTTGATGTCAGCAAGGGCAGAACCTCCCCACTGAGCCAGGCTACCAGCTTGGGGATAGGGGGTCTTGTGAGACCACGTGCATCACGACAACAACATTATCGGTCTTCATTAATGATTATTATTATTATTATTATTATTATTTCATTGTTTAGCTGATGCTTTATTCAGTACACCTTAAAATGTTGCCACATTCAGAATGCCATATTTTACTGGATCAATTAAGCTTAAGTCCCTCAAAGTACTCCTCCTGGAACAGGAACAATTAACTTTCAGGTTATAAGGCTATGGTCTGAATCTTCATGCTACCCGATGCTCCAGTCAACTGAGAACAGGAAGGACCTTTTTGCACAGTCACAAACCAGGGCCTTTCGATGATTTAGCAAACACATATCATTTGAGTCACTTGCAGAAATTAACCTAACACCATCACCAAAAAAGAACAAAAGTTTATATTTCATATACTAACAGCTTTTGACTTGCTGCTGGTCACATCATTTGAGGACAGAGGGAAAAGTGTTTATTCCTGTTGTGAAGATTGATCTGCCCTGTCATTTTCATTGACTTATTTGATAATTCATGCTGATTTCCGTAATGGCTTATAATGATTTAATAGTAAGAATGTTCAGTAAATCCTCTCTTATCCACAAAATCCAGAAGCATTAAAAACCAAACTATTGTCATGGTCCTGACATTTATTACAAAGAATAATCTGCGTTACAATATTAATACCTCATTAGTTATGGCATTTCAACATGTGTTTTATTACAAGATGACCTGAATGATTAATTAAATGCATTTAATTTGTTGTAATAAAATTAACTCACTATAGTAATGCAATTTTGTTCCAAGTGGAAAAAGTGCACTGTTTTCTATTTCACATACATCAGCAATTGGCAGAGAGCATTTCTCCTACTAGCCATACCACTAACAAAGTCTAAGTAATTACCCTAGTTTATTAACTCCAGAGCTATTGACTTCTGTTGTCATTCTTTGAGACATGCCAGCTAAGAGCTATTCAATCAACTACAGCTCCAATCTGACTGTCTGATATATTGCTGAAATAAATCCTGACCTCATATAAGAGAAAAGCCTACGGGGCTGATTATACCCAGTATACCAAAGGAGTGATAACACAATTCTGTATCATCCCCCAGTACACTCCATTCTGCCATTCGTCACCTGACCCAGCCGCAGTCTGAAGGGAATCCTGGGCTTGTTGGCTACAACGTTATACCTGATGTTATGCAAATGTGTTGAATTATACATAGCAGAATCTCTGCTTACTATTACAATAAGCTTCAAAGCAGCATTATTTTAAGGCTGTCCTTAAATCTGGGAACTTCTGCTGAAGGCTGTATTTCCCCAAAGCAAGCCCATAAATCAAAGACATTAGCAGATGGGAAGATGTCCTTTGCTTGTGTCTTCAGTCACCCCTGGGGCAACCAAAGGAGAAGCAACCCCTTTGGACAGGAGGCATTGCCTGTCCCATGGGACCACGCACTGTATGCAAAAGTCTCCAACCTCTTTATATTCACATTTAAATGCTGTGCACATCTAAGAAGCATTTCAGACAAATCAATCACAATCAATATTTAATGTGCCCTATTAGGGAACTGACAAGGCTTTGCATCAAATGTGCACTGAACAATAACGTACCAAAAACTAAATTTTCAACACTGCATTTCAACTTCATCCTCTACACTAAGCACAGTCTACGCAATGCACCTTACCTGAGGAAAAACTGCAAAATGTTGTGAAGAGGAAATAAAAATCGTAAGAAGCCTACTCCTGGTGTAAACCACATAAATCCTACAAAAAGCCCTTTGCCTTCTCTGTAATATTCCAGGAGACTTTCTCACCGCTGGCACGGCAGCTATGCTCTCCTTACATTCGCGGATGGGTTCTCCAAACAATGACGGTCTCCAGGGCCTTGACACTGATGCCAATATCCTGAGTGAGACCCTCTTCGTGTCACCAACCCCAGCGCGCGCTTACTAAAGAGCCGGCACGGCCGCCTCCCTCGTGCCTGAGCCAGTGACGTCAGGACACAGAGACAGTCAGAAGACATCTCAAAGGGACACGGCGCCCCCCTCCGACTGGTGGCTGTTCTCACTCTGTAAATAACGGCATAAAACCCGAGGAGGGCAGCGTCAAGCACGCCATAAGGCGCTCCCACGCATTTACGGTATTTTAAAACTCTTCTGAAAATTACGAAAATAGCCACAGTCATCTCCTAAAATTAGCACTTTAAAATTGCATTTTTCTACTTATTGAGTAAATTAATTGTTTGGCTTTATGTATCGAATCTCGAAGTTAACTGAGAAATTACTTTGCCGTATATATGCTATTAACGAGAATTAAAAATGTTTCCAAAAATACTTTTTTCCAAAAAGCTGAAAATACCAACCAAAAGGAGATATAAAACTAAAAGTAGATTTCAAGCTAAATTAGATATAAATTTGAACTGTTACAGTGTGGTTATATCCACAAACAGCACCCCTGACAGGAAAGGTGTATTCTTTTATTTCACTTGGGATATTAAGTTACACGCCTATAATGTTCTCTTGGGGTTGTCTATACTGGACATAAATAGAAACAAAGGCTAACGCATTGTGCATGTTGTCGACCTTCCTGAAGTGGACTACATCGCAGTGATTAGCCTACATTTTGGTAAAACAAAGAGCAGTAATAGGGGTACCTGGCCAGAGACTACACGTGGAGACTAGCTGCCCCGCCTGCCCAAAGCTCAGCAAATATGCGCTATAATATACCGCCTCGTATCGCTTAATGTCACCAGAAAACCGCTGCTCTGCATTACGGAAAAAGCGGACCATGTGAGCAGCGCAGAATCCAGCACCTGCCCGAGAACCACGTAGACAAAGAGACGGGCAAATTTACACCACCGGCAGCCCTCATCGTTATTTAACCTGTAAAAGTCACTTAAGCGGAGTAGTAGCGCCACTATAATAGAGAAAGGCAACAAAAGCGTGCGCTGGCCAAGTTTTCTCAGGGAAACGTCCCGGGGACGATATTTGTTTGTTTGGTCATTTCCCTGAGAGCCACAGAAAGAGGTGGTCTCTCACACATCGCCGTATTTACCGACCTCTCTCCGTGCTGAAAGTTGTCCGAGGTGAAATATCCTTGTGGAGAATCGTCACCAGCGAAATGACGTTTCACCCGGTGGTTTGCGAACACAGCTCCAACCGGTATCAAACACATTCATCCGTTGCCGAGGTTTGGCGTGACGACTCTCCGCCGCTTACCGGGACTGGATTCTTGTTTTTTTTTTTTTACCGGAGATCCAGCAGCACCGCGTAATCCTCAACCGTCCGCGAGGCAACCCCCCCCCACGCACACATACATACGTCTCCTTGGAAACTGCTCGAGGCAAGCGTTTACTTTGCAGCTGATTGGTTAAAGGCGAAGAAACGGCGACCCTCGTCGGGAATTCGCTTATCCTCGTGAACCCGAAGTACATACATCAGCTGTTCTTAGGGCAGGAGCCACATGATTACCTGAGGAATACGTTATTCATCTTACCTCCTTTGCTATGGGAATTACATGTAACCTGCACACACAGGGAAGCGGCAGGGTTCAAGCCCCCAACCCGAAAGCGTGAGGGGATAGGGTTACAGACTGACCTACCGTGCCACTCTGCTATAATGGTGTAATTTATGTTTTACAATACAAGAACACTACTAATAATAAACTGATAACCACGATTGCTCTTAAAACGTTTCATTGCGTTTACACTCGATGTATAAGGAATTTCCATACTATATCTAAGCCAATTGTGTGTGTGCACTGTGTAGCACAGAGGTTGTCATGCTATGATTTGTAACAGACCCCCAAGTTCCCACGATGCTTTTGGTTTTTGTTTTTGAGGCTTTGCTAAATTAAATTATTAGAATATAATAGCACAGAGGTTTTGGCAGCAGGAATTAAATGCATATCAATGTAATGCAATAAACACATCTGAGAAATATACTATGGGCCTATATGTGTTATTAATTTTGCCTGCTAACAGATTACTTATCCATATAATAAACACTTCTGCCTTGTATTGCCTGAAATAGGCAACTTGACCAGGATGTGCAGTTCAAAGATGAATGGATGATAACATATAATCCACTTCCTGTCTTTACATTTCAACAATGTTGAGTGAGGTTTTTTTCTAGCCGAATATTCTTTAGGTTATCCTCCCAGATATATCAGTGAATGTGTGTGTGGAAACCACACTGTTTACAGGTGTGGCCTCAGTTACTCAGGTGACTGTCCATCAGTAACACTAGTAGGTATGTAGGCCTATGCTTTGCAAAGTTCCCTACAGCTGCAGTGCTTGGTATAGCCTGATCAGTTACTTGGATGTGTAAAACGTTACATAGATGAAAAGCACAATAAGCTGGAAGATGGTGAGCAATTCATTGCTGTTGTTTATGTAAAAAAAAAAAAAAGTTAAGTAAACCCCATGTCTGATGAGCAGCCATGAAACCATAAAGGAGGCTGTGCAGCTACTCAGCCACACATACACATTTATATCTGTTAGAGGTAAGGTATGCTGGCCTTACATTACCTCCTGGGTTTGGAGGCTCTGCAGTGTGTGCATGTTGTCCTTAAGCACATTGCTGAATGAATCACTCACCTAATCAAATGAATTTAGCCATCTATATGTATTACAAGTACCTCAGTACCGAGGCATGGTGAACCTGACTGCACAATTGGAAGTTAAGGCCAATGGTAACACTGACTGACAATGCAAGCAATCAAGTGAAGAACTCAATAATCAACCATACATAATAAAAAATAATACAAATGTAAAACATAGACATAATGAGGTGACTGATCAATACTCATACTCCTGAAATCTGAGCCCATATGATTATATATGAAGGTCATCAAGTCAAGCATAAAATAGATTCACAGTCCATGTAGCTCAACTGCACTCTCTCTCTCTTTCCAAATAAAAGATTAATATATCAAGGTCCTGTGGTAATTTAATTAGCTAGGGTACCTACCTACCCAGCATAAGATTCCCCCTTTAACATCATTACTGATTCTGCAACTTAAATCACTTACGCCCGCTGCAATATCAGCAGAAGCAAATACATTATTTAAGTGTTTAAAAACTGAATAACAAATGTAATAAAGAGCTTGGAGCAATCAATTAATGTAAAAACATCAAACAGTTTAAAACACCTATATGTTTGTCTAATTCGCATTAAACCTTTTTTTTTTAGCTTTGACATACCATGTAATCATTTCTGATTCTAGGTGGCTAATGGAAATGATACATAAATGAAGGTATAGCAGTTACTGCAGCCCTGTAGGGCATGCCCAGTTAAAAGGGAAAATCTACTTCTACCTGATTAGGTTGATCCGAGATCGTGGCTGCCGTCAGTTTGTGAAGGTTCTCCTACTATCAAAGTTCACCCTCTGCTGCCCTCTGCTGGAACTGCATCTCTGCACATGGTTTTTTTCAGCAATGATAAATGCAGTTCTGAATGTGACTCATCTCTTTCTACAATAAACTCAGGAGTATAATGTTTTTCCAACTTTTAATAAGCATTCAAGGGTTTTTCAGATACACGTTCACAAGGATATTAATATGACTTTGAACACTAATAAATTCGAATTCTGTAAACATTGTCATTTTTCAAGTAAAAGAAAATCAGACTAAGCACATTTAGACTAGGTCAAGTGTATTATAGTTTATTAGCAATATGAAGAAAGTTTTAGCAGAATTAAATAGTTATTTAAAAATTATTTTTCAATGAAGGACACTGGCTCAACCCTAAAGAAACATATATACACACTATGAAATTACTTAAGAAAAATAAAAGTAAAACCAAATGGGAACAATCTTTCAAAAGGTTCCAAAAAAGTAGGTAAATCTGTATCACAACATATTATTTCTGTTAGTATTTATCCAGGCCTGGATGGGCTATTCTATTCATCAGCAGCGACTCCTTTCCATGAAATTCTTTAAAAATCTTAAGTATCATGTCACTATCATGTAATTTTAATATACAGTAAGAAGTGTTACATTGGCTATTTTATACTTCTGAACCACATAGATTTTAGTTGCTGCATTTTGATATAAACTGATTTACTATCTGAGAAAACAGCATATTTGTCTTTACCACTCTGGAGTGCTTCTTGGCAAGGCCTGGTGTATCTGCCCAGTTAAAACTCCACTCCAGATTAAATCTTGGTGTTTCGGGCCACGTTTTTGAGAGGCACCTCTTCCCCTGGGTGTCTCTTCGAGTTCTTCTCATTATCATCAATGGTGTCTTCAGAAAACATCTCATCCAGTCGGTCAGGGTTGACGTAGGTGTAGAAGTGGCCCATGATGGAGAAGATGAGGCAGACGGCAACCAGGAGAGCAGCGAACAGCACAAACTCCACCCACTATAATGAAATTGGTCTCATCACTCACTTGATACCAAACAAGTGAAGAAACTAAACAATTCTTTACAGATTTTATTGGGGCAATAAAGTTCAGATCTCTCTATTCAGTGAACTGGAGTCCTTCCAGGATTTCAACCAGCAACCTCGAGTCTATAAGACTCTGCATGCTGGCCTCACTCTTCATGCTGAATGCAGCATGGACTACTTTGCTAGCTCAATGTCCATCAGTGCTAAGGTGAGTACTGTAAACATGGAACAATTCCTTCAGTCAAGAGACCTTCTGACAAATTGCTAACCCTTCACTGTCCAGGGATGGGGGGAGGGGTAAATGAAAATGACTGATACATGAGAAATAATTAGTCATTATTCTGTGAACTTTTTAAAATCGTCAATAAAATACCCTAATGTGAATGTTGAACAGAAATAAACACGTTGTTAATGGCATACACTTCTGACAATCATTGATGTGACTACAGATCTTGCTGGCTTGTTATGATGTTGACATAAGGTGTAGCATTGATTCACAGTGAAAGTGGAACATGACCTGCTTCACACCTTGTCGTTTTTACCTAAATAAGTTTCACCAAGGGATGTCACACGCAAGCAGCCTTATGCTCTCCCACCCAGCCCCTACTGACTCGCAGAATTAAGTCCTACCTGTTGCAGGCCGGCCCCTTCTGCCACAATCAGCACAATCACGTTTCCAAAGGCCACCGTCATGAGCCAGACGGCTTGCAGCACGGATTTCATATTGGCTGGGGCCTAGCGGTACGAAAGGTTAGGGATAGGGTGAAGCTGAATACTGTGGTGCTACACTGAACACACTGAAACAACACTGTGTTCTGTACCTGAGAATAGGAGAACTCTAGGCCCGTGATGGAGAACATGACCTCCCCTGCTGTTATAAGGGCGTATTGCGGCACCTGCCAGGCAATATGTACGTTGTTTGCATGGACGTCCTCCATCTTTCTGGCCACTAATCCATTGGGGATCTGCTATGTTTGAAAAAAAAAATAAACAGGCTAATATATTCATTTATACTCTTTCAGAAATTTAGCATAAATGCTGCAGGAGGGCTTTACGTACTGGATCCAGAATGACAGTGTAGGATGCACCAAAGTCAAGGAGACCCAGATCTAGTGAGTACTGGTTTTGGTCCGACATGCATTTCACGTCACTGTATCTGTTAGATCAGATTAGCTGTTAATTATCATTGTTTCACAGGAGACTTGTGAAGACTTTTGTCAATTAAGCCATTATCACAAAATAATAATTAGTCAGCTTGTCCAAGGACACAAAATGTAAAGGAATGATAGAGTGTCAAGACCTTCTGTGGTACTCACTGTGCTCTCATCACGCTCTTACTGGGAGAGATGCCATACGCAGGTGCTACCTGAAAGTCCTGCCCACCAACAGTCACATTCAGGCCCTCGTTGTTGGCATTGACAAACCTGGCAGAGTAAACAAATTCCCCCAAATTGCACGAGCTACGACGAGGAACGTGTTAACAAGCTGCAGAGTTCCTTTCACTTGCACTGGCCTTTGCATGGTTATTATATGTGTGTTTACCTGACGAATGCATCACCTTTCTCAGATTTCTCAATTAAGTCTTCCACCTAAAAAGCAATGCAACACACTAAGTTTGACACATGTACATCCAACAGTAGGCAAACAGACAGATTGAGCAATCAGCATTAATGCATTAAATAATTAGTCCTACTGAAAAGAGAGGCTGTTTATTTACTTACAAGTTTACATTCAATGTTGGCTATGTCTTTGTGCAGGATCAAGCTATAAGCCTTTTGTTCGTGGAATGAAAGAACACAGTTAAAGTCTACTGCGTCATACTTGATCTTGACTGTATGGTTTTGACTTATTCCATTCAGCGGTAGCCTCTGATATTCCCATGGATCCTGTCAAGGCACATCCATGATTATTTTGAGAGCAGTTCATCACACGCTATGATCTGAATACGTAATGTGGGTAATGAATATGTGATACAGGTTCACTATCACAGCTCATTCTTAGGTGTGAGAAGCTGGGAGTGAAGTCACTGCCCTTGAATCCATTATTCTGCTGCTTGCCTGTGGGATATTATGCTATACTGACCTCATAGGGCTTGATGGGCTCTGGGAAAAGGCCAGTCTCCGAAATAGTCACCCTGACCTCACCATCTGCCAGATTGAGAATCTGCAATAAGCTCTGCCCCGCTGGTGGAGCCTCCACCACAGTTTTCTGCCAGAGAAGTATAGAAGGATGCATGTGATGGAAATGCTGCAGGAGTGAAGCCATTTACAGAGCAGAAGTCAAGGGGATTGGGGGCTGAGGTGCTGGCGGACGTCAGCATCACCGCGACTATATGGTTTGGAATAAATACATCCCAGGACCACACTGTATGCACACTGATTAAACTTGAGAGTCTTACTATGACGTTCACTTCCACGATCGTTGCAGCTACAAAGGCCAGGGCTGCGAGAATCATGCCAGCGGCCATCTTCTTCAGCGGCCTGGACAGAAGGTGCCGTCAGATAGTTTCAACTGACACAAAGCCAAGCCGCACAAACCCAGATCCTGAATTTCCTCATCCCTCATCATGTCAAAACAGCACGTCGTACATCAACACGCTGAAGGAAAGACTCATTATTCTGAGTAGAAAGGCACTGCTAGCAGGGTGAGATGATGAATGACCATCTGCTTTTGGCACCTGAGGAAGCAGAGCTTGCTAACAAAGTGCCTTAGCAATGAAAGCTGCTTCTTGATACTAAGACCAACCTTACAGCTTAAGAATCATTGACTGTAGCTCCAACTTTTGCTTGTGTACAAGTAAATTCAAAGTTCTTCTGAATGAAAAGTGTGCCCCATACTAATCCCAAAACCTCTCCAAGCTTTTAAATTAGACAATAATAAGTAGAAAACTTTAGCCTACTGGTACATGAAGTGTAGTATTTGAAATAAAAAGTAATTAAAATATTTAGGGTTTTGAGTGTCTCTCTTGTTCTTGTAGTGGATGTGCTTTCCTGGCTAAGAAAACATTATGGTTTATGTCCAAGAGGATCATTTGACCAACAGCTGTCTAATGATCTGTAGCAGGTCTGAAGCTCTGGATGATCTAATCAGCCTCCTTAAGTATAGTCAGGACTCTGGTAATAAATGTAAATGACCATAAATGAAGAAGTATAACCACACTATCAGTGGTTTTATCCGATTCATTGCAAGTGAATTCACAAAGCTTGACATTCCTTCGTGAATGGAATAACCCTGTCGCTATCAGCCAGACACGACTCACGTAAAGTTAATCTTGCAGAGGCCAATGAGTGGATACACTCCCATGTCGAAGATCGGGATAAAGACCAATATCAGCAAAGCGTTTAGCATCTAGGAAACGGAGGAACCAAAGTGCCATTAGAATGAAGCAGTAAACACTGCAATATCATAAAACCAAGGGCAATTTAAGAAAACATTGGTGAATACTCTTGCTCAATACTTCTATAAAGCGATAAGAGATTTGAAATTGCAATAATCATAAAGGTTATGATAATTCCTGACCCCAGGCAGACGAACACAATGCAAACGAAAGCAAACAGGTGCTGTTCTAAGGAGATGCACATGCAATCACAGCTTTACCTGCATTTGATCCGGCTTCAGAACAAACGGGCCCTGCGGTATAATGAATTAATTATTGTTTAATTATTGTAATTGTTTTATTAAATTATTAAATTATATTATCATTAAATTGTTAGCGAGTGGTCAGTCTTAGATGTTTGTCGTGTACATTTCACCCTGCAGAAGTGTGCTTATGTCACCTGTATATATTGCTTGTCATCTAGAATACGAAAACAAAGATTAAACAATGTAATAAAATAATTACACTTACAAAGTCCAAATTCATTCTGGTGGCCTGCAGTGTCCACCGAGAGCCCTTCGATGAACAAACAAACAAACAAAAAAAGATTTTACTGATTTTGACTGACAATCTATGTAGAACACCCTGATTTACACCCATCCATCTTCCTGCCACTTACCCTGGGCCAGAGTCCTGCACCGGGTCGGGTACCTGCAGATAGTTGCTGAAACGGGCGGATTTTAATGTTTTGGAATTTTACGGGCGGGTATGCGGGCGGGTAATTCATTACACACAGGCGGGTAGCAGGTCAATCAAAACAGTATTGTAGCCTGCAAAAATAACATAAGCGAAAATATCTATGTATTAGACTATCATGTACAAATTGTCTTCATCACAGTGTGTTCAGTATGTCGGGGGTAAGATAAACGCCTCGACAAACATTCACATATACATCTGAATCCTTGCTGAAGCGTGTCGTCGTGTTCTCTCTTTCACGCTCGTCATAGTATGGATAGCTTAGATCTATCTGATTTGAATTTGTGTTAAACAGATTTTTTCATTTCAATTCAAAATTCATGTAGGCCTAGCGCTTGTCACGTTGAAAGGTGCATAGAAAAAATAATTGTGTGTAATTTATCACGGGTACGGGCGGGTAACGGGCAGAATGTTAACGGGCCCAGGCGGGTGCGGATTTAACTTTGAAATAATCACGGGTGCACGGGCGGGTGTGGTGCTGTACTATGCGGGTGCGGGCGGGTGCAGGTCTCCAAAAGTGGACCCGTGCAGGACTCTGCCCTGGGCTATATCACAGACTGGCCACAGTGAGACAGGCTGGAGTGATGAGGGCTTACCTGCTGGTCAAAGAGGGCCCAGAACATGGGAAGGGGGATGTAAAGTAGCAGCACCCGGAGAACCATCTTGATCTCCTGGATGAGGCGTTTCTGTAGAAACAAGGTTGTTTATCCCACTGGAGACCATCTCCTAGCTTTCTCATTGCTCGTCCATCTGCGTTCAAGCCTGGTGAACCTGTGCTTCAGAGCTTCTGTCAAGAGCACGTTTAAGTGGTGCTGAGTCTCTATACATAAGGTTGCCCTTTTGCCAGTTAGCTTTGCCACCAGCTAGTGTCACTGACTCATTGACTCTCATGACTCTCTTGAGATTTGCTATCTTTACCGAAAACTTCTCCTCTGCCCAGTCCAGCCAGTGAGCTCTTTTAGGGTCAGTTTTTGAACTTCTCCAGCGATTCTTCACAGCAAACTACAGGGAGACAGGAAGAATACACACCTGCCAATCAGCTTAGACTAAGTGAAGAATGAAGGTTCATAAGAAGTCATGCAATCAGACCCCAGGACTCCAACAGTGCTCTGCAGTGAGAGGCTGTGGTACGTACCACCATGCACCTGCACACATCCAGCAGCACGTTCCCCTCGGGGGGGCTCTTTTTGTACAAGCTGCTCCCAGCGATGAACACAACTGTGTGATGGGGAGAGTATCGTCTTTTCATTAGAAACAAATCAAAAATCATATAAACTTACACATACATTACCAGAGGTGGAGATTTCTGGTCCGGCGAGTACAAATCCAGGATTTTGTTACAACCAACCAGTTGAGTATAAAGAGTCACAGTCACAGAATGCTCAACTGGTTGGTTGAAACAAAATCTTGGTCTGGATTTGCATTCATCTGTTTCCCTGTACCCACTTATCCTATTCAGGGTTGCAGGAGATCTGGAGCCTATCCTGGAGGCTACGGGCACGAGGCAGGAAACAACCCAGGATGGGGAGCCAAGCCATCGCAGGGTATTCAGACACCATTCACTCACATGTGTACACCTACGGGCAATTTCCTAACTCCAATTCACTTGAGTATGTTTATTTTTTGGCCTGTGGGGGGAAACCGGAGTATCCACAATGACACGGGGAGAACATGCAAACTCCACACGCATGAAGCCATGAGGGACTAACCACCGCACCTCTACACAAGATTAACAGTCCATACAACAAGCCTACATCGTGCTGTGCATCCCCTCACACCAGTGATTCTTACTCATATCTTTGGCTTTGGTGACTGTCTTTTGCTGTGACTGTCATGCAGGCAGGACCGAGTCTGAGACAGCTGAAGGCGGCACCTTCCTGGAGGAATAGCGGCAAGCAGGGAGGAGGGGGGGGGGCTTCACTCACCAAGGGCGATAAGCATCAAAGCTGCTGGCACCCCAAAAGCGAGAGCGTAGCAGTCACCCTCGAAACACTGCACGTCACCTGGAGAGCAAAAGCCGAAACAGTCATGTGACCTGACCTCTTGCCAATAGGACAGTGCTTTCAATATGACTCATTCTATGGCTAAGCGATAAAATAAAATCATGTGTCAGAAAAATTTCAGATGACACTGCCAGTGGATAATATATAACAGGTCCTCAGGGGGGCCCAGATGGTCCACGTTTTTGCTCCCTCCCAGCTCCCTGACAGACAGTGCACATTTTTGCTCCCTCCCAGTCCCCAGAATGGAGCAAAAAATCATGGACTGTCTGCGTGTCCCTGAGGACCGTGTTAGGAAACACTGGTCTATAGAGTATACTATGTATAATATATCACAGGGAACATCTACAAGATGTTTATGTGAAGTGCCATATTTATTGCCATAATCATAGGTGATAAGCATACTGAATTGTAGTGCTAAGGAGAGCCAGACTGACCTCGCAGTATCGGCGTGATAATGGTGGATAAGACACTCCCAGCATTGATTGACATGTAGAATATGGAGAAGAACTTCCTCCGTTCCTCCACCTAAAGCAGGGGGGTTTAAAGCATGAGGTGCTTCACTGCATGCCTGCTCCTGTTCTCCTGACTGATCAGCAGAAAGGGCCCACAAATCAGCCAACAGGAATCTCTGTCCTGTCAGACGAGCCTGTTCCCGCCTAGCAGATCCGCCCATGCAGCCTTTCCCATTAACATTGCTGCATTCCAACAGCAGCCTGTAGTCATGTGAAAATATGCATTCCGGCACATTGCGCCTTACGTGTTCTTCCTCAAACTGGTCTCCTCCGAAGGCGGATACACAGGGCTTGATCCCCCCCGTCCCAATGGCGATGAGCACCAAGCCCGTCAGGGACAGCACTCTGGAGTGAACAGAGAGGGTACGTCACTGGGCAGGCGGTTGGCAGCCTGCATAGGATTGCCGGCGCTGTGAGAGATCCAGCAGGCCACTGGGCCCAGCGGAGCACTCACACGTGCATGGTGTTGTCCCCCAGGGTGGGAATGGCCCCCACAGACTTCACCACATGACCGATGACATACACTATGGAGAGGTAGATGATGGTCCTGCAGGCAAAGCGTGGAGAGAAAGTGTTTCAGGATTGGCATCCATATTTTGCCAGAATAACCAGACCAAGCAGCCCCCCCACAGAATAACCTGACCAAGCTGTCCCCCCCCCACACAGAATAACCTGACCAAGCAGCCCCCCCACTACAGAAATACCTCACCAAACAGTTCCCCCCAACCTCCCCACCTTTACATGGGTTCAGGTGAACTGCCAGTGAACCCACCTGAACTTCCCAAGCCAGGAGTCGGCGATGATGGCCCCCAGGACGGGTGTGAAGTAGCAAAGGCTGCTGAATGCATGGTACACCACCGTGGAGAGGTTCTTGTCCCAGTGCAAGTAGTTCATGAAGTAGAGTGTGAGCAGAGCTTCAAGGTGAAGGTAGAGCAACATAGGCTCATAAAACCACAATTTGGTTATCTCTCTATTTTTAAAAAGCAATGTCTTGCCATTTAACTGATCCTTTCAATGCAGTTCTAGATTGCAGTTTACTATAGGTAACACAGGAGTGTGGCTCGATGTGATTACCTTTCATGCCATAGTAGGAGAATCTCTCGCAGAATTCATTCACCACAATGAAGGCGATGCTTACAGGGTAGTTGGTGCCACATAATTTCTGAAGCAGTGAGGCAAGACGTATTAGCACCTCTAGATGTATAGACTCCATGTTAACTAACATGATGATTCTGCGATAAATCCACTCTGCCAACTGTCATGACTCTGTGACAACTTGGTTCTATGACCCAATGACTCTGTCATAAGTCCAATCTCTAACCCAACGACTCTGTGTATGCTATAACTCTGTTCTGTAACCCGATGATTCTGCAATAATGTTCTCCAGCCTGATGACTCTGTGATAACTCTGCTCTTCAACTCGATGACTCTGTAATAACTCTGCTGTCTGACCTGATGACTCTATGATAACTCTGCAATAGCTGGCCCAATTACTCTGTGATAACTCCATTGTGCAACCTGGTGATTCTGAGATAATTCTGTTGTCTGACCAGATGATTTCACGATAGCTCTGCTCTCCACCACAATGACTCTGCAATAACTCAGCTCTCCAACCTGATGACTCAGCAATAATCCCACTGTCCAACCCAATGACTCCATAACCAAACTCATGACTCAGCGATTCCTCTGCTGTCCAACCTGATGACTTTGCAATAAATCTGCTCTCCGACCCGATGACTCTGGAATAACTCTGCCGTCTGACCCGATGACTCTGCAATAACTCCAATCTCCAACAGAATAACACTACCCTCCAACCTGATGACTCCACAATAACTCTGCTCTCTACCCCAATGACTCTGCGATAAGTCCACTGTCCAACCTGATGACTCTGCAATAATCCAGCTGCCCAACCCGATGGCTATGTGACAACTCCACTCTCTGACCCGCTGACTCTGTGATAACTCTGCTCTCCGACCTGATGACTCTGCAATAATTCGGCTGTCTGACCCGATAACTATGCGATGACTCCACTCTCCAACCTGATGACTCTGCGATAACTCCACTCTTCAACCAAATGACTCTGCGATAACTCTGGTCTCTTCCCCAATGACTGCCCGACCCGATGACTCAGTAGTAATCCGGTTGTCTGACCCGATGACTTTGCAATAACTCCACTCTCCAACTTGATGACTCTGCAATACCTCCGTTCGTCGACCCAATGACTCTGTGATAACACCGCTATTCATCCTCAGCTGCTTTTCAGCCCTGTCCTTTCATGGCATTTATACACTTGTATGTACTGCTGGGCACTGAATGGACTGACAATGGGTCTCCTCTGCTTATCACAATGCTGATGTTGTATACCCTTATCCACTGTAGTCTTGTGCCCCTTTAAGTTTTTCTTTATAAGATCATCTGAAAAATGACTAAGCTGAAGTTTAAGCACGTAAAACAATACCGGTGAATGTTTCACTTTGGTTTTTTCATCACTCTCCTGGGTGATATCTAGGAACAAAATAACAGATTTAATTTACACACGATTCAGTATGATATTGTTAGCTGTGACAAATTTTGATGATGCACCACTGATGACTTCTGAGCTACAGTTAAAACATGATTCATCAAATCAGTACCGATAGGAAAACTGATTATTCTACTAGAAGGTTTTAATAATACATTAAATAGTGCAAGGATGATTATGCTGTATCTGCATGAAAAAAAATGAATGTTTAAGTGCTCTAGAGCAGTGTTTCCCAACTTTTGGGTCATGAGCTCATTTTCAGTTTGCTGAGTGTGTAAGGATAAAACTGTTGAGAGCAACAGCTCTAGAGTCTTTGGTTCTATAATTTGCTCATGATTGCTTTGGTCATATCCCTAATAATAAAATAACACAAATAAATAACACTGTCTACTACATATGTTTTCCTACACTGTCAATATTTTTATCGATGGATTTCTTTAAGAAAAAATTTAAGAATATAGGAAATTTTTATAAACCAGCGACATTTTAAAAATGACTGGCAGGGATTTGCATTTGTACACTTCTAGTAATGTATTTCATGCACTTCAATCATTCACATTTTAAGTACTTTCTTTTTCAGTTCTCCAAAACCAAAAAGTGCACTGTATAAAACCAATGTTTAACCGATGCTGACTTTTGGAACTTTTCATATGCTGGATGTATATATGTTCATATTCAATTAGAGAAACAAAAACACACAGTAAGTAACACAGTGGATCTGCTCTAAGTATCCAAACAAGACTGGGTTCCCCATTTGTTGTGTTATACTCATAGAAAATCAATGATTTATTCTGTTGCCAAATGGTTTTTTGCCAAAGTTACAGTTTTACAGACGGTTTGTCTGTCTCTGACGTGAGTCTTGCTCTGGGACAAGGATCCCAGATCGACAGCACTGAGCTGTACTTCAGCGAACTTGCGAGGTCATGAAAACTCTGACTCCTAACTTAAAAACCGGGTGCCGGTGAGCAGAAAAACAGGTTTGTTTTTTAAAAATGAGTGAAAATGAAATTAATAGTTAAAAATAATAATAAAAACAAGAATGATAATTGCTATTCTCATTATTATTGTTGTTGTTGTGAATTCAAACTGTAAAGAAAGTCAAGGTTCACTATTGTGGTGAAATGAAGAGCAGCACTAACGGTGCCCGGCAACTCTCAGGTCGCAGTTGTGAAGGTGTTTAGCGTTTACGCTCCTGCATGCTTTCTCCCACATCGCAGAGCGATGTCAATCCGGCCAAATGCACAATGTCGCCTCCATAAGCTTTATTTCATAAGGTCAAGAGCCTGTGAGTGATGGGCTTAACCTCGATGCATCACACTGAAAAGCTTTCACATCCTTGCTGCACAGAGCTGTAGAGTAAGCAGGCTCTTTTGAGGTCCATAGGTATCTACAAGGTTTATGTTGAACTCTATACCACAGATGACGACGTCAGAAGGATTTGGCCACTGTTCAGTTTAAGTGCCTGTGCAGGTTTTGAATATGGCACTGAGATACAGTACTAACCATAACAATACTAACCCTAATTTCTCAGTATCTGGTAGCAACAATCTCCGTGACCCCCCATTGAACACAGACTAGAGCACAGGCTAAAGAGCAAGAGCAGATCTGTTCCAGCACTCCAGTCAAACAGAAATTCAAACCACTAGTAATTTGCGTGGATGAGCTGAGATACAGAGTTCTGTCATAAATACTGATCTGGACCCCAAGGCAGGACTCAATTAGCAATTAAGGGCTGCTAAGCAGACATTAATGATGCATACACCATAAGACATTTGGATTACCCATTTTCTTGTCCATGTCAATGAAGTTCTCCTCCGCAGACGCCTCCTGCAGCCTGTTCAGTCCTCCTTTACTGTCTCAAGAAGCTCTCCCTGTGAGCTAGATTTATGTTTTTCACTCCTTGGTTAATATTTCACTTCCAAATCCATGCAAAGAAATCAGTTTGCTTGACAGTACTTTGTTCCATGCATGTCTGTATAGCTATAGAAATAGTAGAAGGGATTGAACTTGATGACGCATTTCTTTAAACTTCTCTTCCAAGTTTGCACACTTCATCAGTAGGTGAATACACAAAGCACCTACTGTTCTGTGCAGTGAGCCTGTTCGCTTCGAAAAAAGAAACTTCCAAACGTGTTTGTTATTCTATTATGTTCAATGCAGTGGCAGCTGCTGACCAAAATATTTGGTGAGGAAAACCCCAGGCTGACCCCCCTCCTACCCCGGGGTATAATTTCAGACATGATCGCATATTAATCATTACTCTAAGTATTATAGTAAACATTAAAATATGAATTACACTATAGTCCTGAACATTATCCAGTTTGCTAATTTTACTCAAATGTAGCCATATTTAGCCTGTATGCCGAGCCCTCAATTGTGTAACTATTAACTGACTTCAATGAGATTTATTTTTATAGAGTGCCTTGCCCACTAAAGTCACCCCAAGGCGCATTTATATGGGTGTGTTGTAATCCGGCTTAGGGAGTGATATAATACAGGAGTAATGTAACACACAAAAGTGACTGTATTTTGTTACAGTTACGGGGGGGTGGGGGGAGAGATGTAATCAGATTACCAATACATTTGACTCAAGCTCATTAGCCATGTAATGTTTTTGGCCATGTAAACTAGCCATGGGGAATTCAGGTGAAGTGGAGCACTTTTTGCCATTTTGATTTCTAGTGCCTATTGAAACATTAACCTGATGTAATTAACCCACATGATACCTTTGCACAATCCTTAAGATGTCTCATCACATTAAAAGACAAAGATGAAATTTCTTGTTTATAGGAGTCATGACACAGGTCTATACACTCCATTCCCCTGTAAGGTAAAGTGGGACGCATTTCAGGTAATGTGGGACAGTTGGTTTGGTAATGTGGGACAGGCATTAATTTACTAAATCAAAATTGAATAATTTTGCAAAGAACTTTGATGATTGAGTTTAATACACAGAACAACTCAATGAACAGTTGAACATTAATTGTTGTTTTTTTTTTTTAAATCAAAAATAGTCACTGAGGGAAAAAGTCCATAGATTTAATTTCATTTTAGATTTTGTTTTGTATAAAATATTTAAAACAATTACATGCAAAGGTTACACTAACAGTAAAAACAGTAAAACAGATTTTATAGTAAAACATCAAACTTTTATCGAACTTAACATTTTTAATTCAGATTTTTCACTCTTTTTCTGTGCCTTACAAGTAGCCTAAAAGCCGTCTTTTCATGTGAAGGAATCATCACCATCAAGGGCATAGCTTTAGGCTGAGTACTGGGGGAGGTTGAGGTCTCCACCAATGTAAGGAGGTCCAGAAGGTTGTATTTGGTTTTGATTGGCAAGTTGGCATTTTTTCCCCGTTTCATAAATAAATAAATACTATTATCTATACACTCACCTAAAGGATTATTAGGAACACCT